ATTTTTTATTTTATTTTTATTTATTTAAAAAAATAAATTTTTTTAAAAAAAAATTTAAGTAAATTAATAAAACTGTCATTCAACGATTAATAACATGAAAATATTTCTGGAAATAGTAAAATTATATTTGTGTAATGAAATCAGTAATCAACTACTATAATGAATAATTCATTATATATACCGCATAATTCATTATAGTGTTAACGAAGATTCTTATAATGAAGTCCTGATTAGCTAGATCAGCAACTTCATTATATCGAGTTGTGACTATATATATATAATACTAGAAATAATATAAATGAGTTTTCTTTAATCTTAGTTAACATTTAAAACAAATCAAAAGTTTAAAAAAAAAGCATTGAAAAGTGAATAATATTAAAAGTTAAAATGTTATTAGAAGAATATTTTTTAGTAAATAATATAAATTAAAGTGACAAATACACTATATAAGATATATATAATTAGTCATTGAACTCGAATCAAAAAAAATTACTTGAGTCAAGTAGAGTCAAGAATTCTTTTGACTTGAAGAGTACCTGAGTTAGAATTCAAGACAGAATTCGAGTATAGAATTTGAGTATCTGACTCAAGTTAGCATTCAAATACTATGCATTTGAGTATTAATTTGATTTTAATTTTTTTTATAAGACAGCTATCACCTAATTTAGAAATTTAATGACTATAATATTATTAACGGCATATCTAATAATATTTTTTTTATCCCTATTTTTATCTTTACGAGTAATTGTAAATATTATCGTATCCTGTTACATTAAATTCAAATATTCGTATAACATTTTAATGAATAAATAATTAATAGACAAAACAAGCATTATAAAATAAAAATTAATTTTTATAATTATGCGATGCCAGTTTCTATTCAAATTATCAATGAATATGATTTACAATAATGATCAAAATACCGTAACAATTTTATTAATATATGAAATTTTTGACTTTTTAGAAATTTTTGATAAATTTTATAATTTTCGTCAAAAGAAATATCAATTATATTGCTCGATTATCTATCTTCTGATAGAAAAATACTATCAAAAAGATTTATATTTCTTTTTAAAAATAACATTTCACCTACTAACTCTGGTTTAAGATTTGACCTTTTTGCTATTATATTATTTTCTACATCTGAAAATAATCTTTCAGATAAAACTGATATTAGACAAATTCTCAAATATTTACGTGCAAGTATTAATAATATTAGAAAACATAATTGTTTTAGTTTCTACCAGTCAAATGGATCAGTATCCTTCCCTTTCTCTTCTAAAGATAGATAATTATTTAATTCATTTTCGTTTTTACTCAATTCATTTAGTTTAATATAAATGTCATCTAAAATTAATTTTTTTTTTTCATATACTTCATCATTATCTTCACTGCCTTCAATTGTTTCTGTATCAGAGTAAGTTTTAGATGTAGATCGCAATATTAAAGATAAAAATGGTTCATTATCCTCATAATTCTATTATTATATTAAAAATATAAATATGTTAATATTTATTATTTTAAAATAAAAATTAGTTTTAAGTAAACATTATAATTACTTCTTTATAGCCTCTTCTTCATCTTTAAAAATATCACGAAATTTTTATACACAATATTCTTTGTTATCTCAGTTGTAAATCATAAATTTTTAAATTGTGGATCTAATACACAGGCTATCATAGCAACAGTTTCAGATGTTTTTCAATATTTCGACATACTCTCATATATTATTTGTTTTATTTCTTTAATATAATTTCTATTTTGAAAGTTTAAAGGCTTAAAAATATCCACTTTATTTTTATTTTTACTATTTTCGTTAGAAATTTCAATAAAATCCTCATTATCTTCTATAACTTTTTTTATAGTTTTAAATAGATTAGTTTCATCATTATCATCCAATTCACCTTCAATTTCAGTAATTAAAGATTGATTATTTGGTTGAATTTCAGATATAAGTCAAAATATAGTAGGATATATAAGTGATATTGTAACATATTTAAATCTATTAAGCAATACCATTACTTCTTTAAATCCTTATAATAAATTAACGAGATCGCCTAGTAGTTTCCATTTATCCTTTGTAAGCATTATTTGTTGTAATTTTTGACCATCTTTTTTAGCATCTAGATTAAGATTAGATTGTAAATGACTGGGTAGAAAAATAATTATACGTTTGAGCCTTAATAACCTTTTTCAGGCATAAAATGAAGAATTCTATCGAGTAGAAACATCTCCAATTACCAAAGAAATATTTGTATAATTAAGTTCCCTTTGTATTGCATTTAATCTTTCTGATTATTTAGGTGATATATGAAAAAAATCAATAAGCTGTTTAACTCGTAAAATAAGTACTCTAATAATATTTAATCCTTTACTAACTATCAATTGTAATATATAGGCAACACATGATAAGCGATTAATATTTTTCATTATTCAAGCAGTTTTTTTAATATTCAAACTATTATCAGTTGTTAATGCAATTATTATTTTAGTTAAATTCCATTTTTCAAAAATTTCTATTAAAAGTTGTGATATAATTTCTCCAGTATGAGAATATGGAACCTGTTTTAGTTCTATAAATGCTTCCTTAGGTTTCCAATCTATTAATATCTAAGAATATATTACACTAATATATCCTTGTTTTGCTCTACTTATCCAAAAATCTGTGATTATATAGGCAGCAATACAATCACTTTTTAATAACTCATTAAGTTGTATATAACTCTATATATAAGTTTTACCAATCATAGTTTTAATTATTTTATCACAAGAAACAATAAAATTCTTATTAAGAGAATATAGCAAATTACAAAAAATTTTGTAATTTAGAATATTAAATGCTTGATTATTATCCAAAATGAATTCTACTAATAATTGATGAGATTCTTCATATTCTTCTTCTTTTTTTAATCGTTAATTTTTAATTGCATTTCATATATCTAATTAGTTTGAAGATTTTTCATTATCTATTTTTTTCTCATTTAGTTTATATACCTTATGAATTCGTGCAAGATGACTAATTAAGTTTGATGTTGTAGAACTATCATTATAAGAAACATTACATTCTTTACCATCATGCATAATAACAGCACATGTAGATGTAATTAAGTTTTCTGAATGATGAAAGTAATGCCACACAAAACTACCTTCTTTTGGTATTTCACTTTCAAGTATTGAACTTGTAGTAATAATAATATCACTTTTATTTTTTTCATCTTTATTATATGTTTCCTTTTGTTCCAATTGTACAACTTTTTTTCTTATATTGGCTATTGCTTTTGTTTGTCTTTTTACTTTTTTTGTTGATTTTTTTTTATTAAAATGTTGTAATTTAGAAGGAAGTTGAAGTATTTCAGTATCTGAACACTTTAATCTCTCTTGCTCCTCATATTCCTCTTCAGTTCTTTCATTTTCACTTGGAATATAAATATATTCATCATTATCAAAATTTC